GCAGGGCATGTGAGCACCCGTGGTGGCCGTGGCTCCGTGGCTTTGCTTTGTTTTCTCCCTTCCCTTCCTCGTGCGCGGCCGTGGCTATTTCAAAACTGGCGAGGCCACGGCAACGGCTGCCAGTTTTATATAAAAAGAAGAAGAAGAAGAAGAAGAAGAAGAAGAAGAAGAAGAAGAAGAAGAAGAAGAAGAAGACTACACATCTCACTTTGCAAGATATCAATTTAGCTTAAACCTGACTATAAATTTATAAACAATAGCATAAACATCTATGTTTTCTACCACATTTATAATGAAGATATATCAAGTGATTAATTAAATTAACATACAATGATACTTATTTCATATCATAAATGTTAGTATTGTTTTAATAGACTTGGTTACATTTAAAATTAGTTGACTTCTTCAAAAAAGACAGGTGGACTCTTTTCTAGAGACCGAGGGACAAGTACTCTCTTTTGTCTCAAAATAAATGTATTTGTACCTAAAATAGAAAAAAACGTTTGTCGAGGTGAACAGCCAAAAAATACATTGATGTACATCACGTCGCTGCAATCTGGTGGTTGCTGCCAGGAAGTATGGAATGGATATAAATGGAATACAGTGAGACAAATAATTTCCATAAATAAAGCAGGATTTTTTTTGAGCAAAATCTCTACAACTAAAAAATTACAGACCAATCGTTCACCGGTAGACGAAACAATCCGCGCGGTCACCTCGTCGAACTCCACCTGCGATCCCCGCACGGTAATAAAGGAAATCGCCATCCCTGCGTTGCCCGTCCGCTTCCACCGCGATTCACCAGCACCATAGAAAAGGAAACAACAATCCCTCTCACGGTCTCCTCCTCAGTGACACAGCCTCCTCCGCCTCGTGGCGACGCCACCCGCCCCACCTCCTCGCGATCTCCATCGCGATTCATCGACAACAAGGACCCATCGATACCGGGCTCTCTTCCCCACGACACGGAGCGACGCGGCGCCGCAGCGCTTCATGAGGCCACCTTCCTAGCGAGGCGCGGTGTCACAAAAGGCCAGAGACGAGCGGTGTCCGCAGGCCCGACGGGGCGGAGGCGGCAAGGGCAAGGCGTCACGGCTCTTTCTCACGTCTCTAACCAACGGGCGCGGGCATGGCCAGCAACTGCAAGGCAGCGCGGGCGGTGTGCCGCGTATGGCGCGGCGGCACGGGCATGGCTCCTCCACCGGCGGCACTCGGCCCCCTTCCCCGGCCATAGGAACTCGGTCACCTCGCCACGGCGGTGGCGCGCGGCACAGCGAGGGCAAGGCAGAGCGCTAAGGCTCTTCCTCACGAATCCGTCCGACGGGCGCGGGCGCGCGGCGCAGCGACACTTCTACTTGCGCTCCTCCTCTTCCCTGCTTGCGCTCGGCCCCATCCATCGCCTTCTACCGCGGCGGCGCGCATGATGACGAGCTACAGGGCACCACCGCCAACCTTCTCTTCCGTTCGGATCTCGACCAGGTGAGTCACCTTCTTCTGGGAACTGGGATCCCCTCACCCTTCTCCTGCTTTACAAGTTATTGGTGGTTGACTTGTTGGCTGGAGCCGCCACAAGATGGCGAAGCGGTCGGGTGTTTCTTGTGGCTTTGATTATAATGCACCTAAATTTGGGATACTGACATAATGCACTTAAATTTGGGATACTGACAGGCCATGCTACTTGTGTGTGTGCTTCAACCCATTACAATGTATCAATGCCATTACACATGTGATACTCATCTTCAAAAATTTTGTATAATGTTTTGGGTTTAAACATTATGGCATCAATAAATTGGTAATTGTTGCCTTGCTTAAAGAAAATTCAGATTAGAGTTCATACAAATAAAATTCAGAAATAAGCAGATTTGGTGAGTTTGATGGTGAACCTGATGTCCAACTAGAGAATAGCAATGTTATGTTAATGGGGCCTGCTTGCTCTGCTTTGGTTGATAGTTAGATCATGTAGTAGTTCATATGGTCACACATGGCATTGTGTCATCAGATTGAGGTTGTTGATTCAGGTGTTACATAGTACTCCACGGCGAAGAATAGGAGGATCTATTTTTTTAGGGGTAATAATTATAGGTAAATAGCGATCTTTAGATCATCGGGATAGAACTTCCTTTTCTTGTTGCTAGAACCTGCAAACATGATTGCCGAACTTCGAGAAATCTAAATATTTGCATAAGTCTCTTATAATAAATGTGTACACTTGATTATGTTGACACCTTTAGGTTTCACATCATCTCTACCAAATATTGCACTCAATAAATCTGAAAAATGCAAATTGAATAACAAACTGAAAAAAAAAACCGTTTAGACTGAAAAAACACCGTGTAAATGAACCTAAACTAAACGCTAATCGGGCTACTCTAAAACTATATATATCTCACACGGCAGAATAGGAGGGTTTATGTGAATCAATAATTCGTTGCTAGAACCTGTGATTGCTTAACTTCGAGGCTTGTTTGGACTTATAAATCATATCTAATACTTTTTGAAAAACAAATTGAATAACAAACAAAAAATAAATTTTTCTCTCACACCAATATCGAGAGAGTACAACGTGAATTAATAATATTCGTCCTGTTCATTGGACTTGTTTGACTTATAAACCGTTTTTCAGCCATTTTCAGCATATATTCAAACAAGCCCAAACGAACAGGGCGAATTCTTTTGCCATTGGAAAATCCATATATTGGGCAATTAATACCATTGATAGTCTATCTACTTGCCTAATATTGCTCGATTGCGTCTCCCATTTAATTAAATATTGTTTATCATGTGCTTTAATTTTCATGCCCTGCTATTTTCTTCAGCTTCCTGTTCATGTATGGTAATTGTGCTGTGAGCCCAAACATGGTTAGAGTGATTGCCTCTAGTTTTGTGTGTGAAGGCTAATGACCACTTTTTTATGATGTGAACAATAATATGATAGTTAATCAAGAATATTAATTTGATATGTTCTTTTTGTTTTTGAGGGAGGACGTAAACTGGGCAGCTGTCCAATTTATACCTCAGATGCACAGTCTGCGGTTCATCGACGGTGATGGGTCCATGACCAGATCCATGAGGCATGAAGTAAATAGACGGGTCCGATCCCACCACCACCGTCGGGAGCTGGAGGTGGGTGCGTGTTACGTGCGTTCCGGTCGTATCGTGGATTATTACAGACTGGCCGGTGTGAGAAAAACACGGCTTTCTAGCTAAAAGTTACAATCGTTTTTAACAGGGTGGCTGATGGTGGATGGAGGCGACGCCTCTTGGAAGCGACGAGAGCTAGAATGGAGCACTTTCAGGTAACAGAGGAAGCAAATGTAATATAGGATGACTTGTATTGTATCCATTTGCATTTGGGGTAATAGAGGAGGCAAAAGTAACATAGGATGACTTATCGAGATGTTAGTGTGATTTGATGTACTCGTTATTATATTATAAATATTTACTTTTGTTCATTTTGATTATGAACTTTGTGCTTCCTTTGATTCAATGAAATTGGGTTGAATTATGTGTTTCTTTTGATTATTCGGTTGTGCTTCCTTTGATTCAAAGAAATTGAAGAAAATTATGTGTTTTGTGTGATTCATGAAATATTTTTCGCTGAAAATTACCTTCGACAAGTGTCATGGGATCCTAGTTGTACACTAAGGCACTATATATACCAATGTTTTCCTAAACGATAAATCTCTCTTTACAACAAATCCTTCACACATAACGTTTAGGTTGTTTACGGTGTTTAAACGGAGTTAAACGGTTTAAGGTTTTGTGAAAGATTTTTCAAAACACATATAATTATATATGTGCATGTAAAAAATCAAGTATTCTAGCATTTATACATAGTTATCCGAGTAAAATCAATTATTTTGGTATGTATATATATTTATGCATTTAAAAGAACCAAATATAGATATTTATGCATGCAACATATCAAGTGTACACATTTATAAATATAATAAACTTAAGTATACAAATTTATCCATACAAAATCTGAACTAGATTTACCTCGTGTTCGCTTAAACTAATTATATAAACTTTGCTTTTTACATTAAATTCCGCTTAGGCCGTTAAGGCCGTTTTATAGTATTTGATTTTATAGTCAACCGCTTAATTTCCGTTTAGAGTAAACAAAATTTAGCTTACCACCGCTTTACTGCATCGGCCGTTTAATCCGCTTAAGCGAACAACGATATTTACATATATACTCGAATCTTTAGTTGCATGGTATTGAAATGCGCGAAACTTATAGTATGGATTTATTGGCTTATTTGGTAAATATCGAAGATTTCTTCAAACCGACACGGAAAACTAAGCTCAAAAGATTTTATGAGCTTCTCGTGATTTCCTCTAAACTGTGCAATTAATTAATTATTTAACTTTGCTTTTTAGATTAAATATCACTTTAATGCCAGTATGTTACAATATTAATTTTATAGTATTATTATTTTATCGTGCGATCCGTATGTTTTTAGTATAAAAGTTTAGCTATTAGGTAGGAACGCACGGATACGGCCCTATTAAAACAGAAATGGAAACGGGCCGTGGGCGTGGGCGTGCGGCCATGGTGGACCTGTAGACCCGGTCCATGGACTCACGTCCTCGTCGACAAAATCGGGCACCCTTGCTACCGTTACCCATCGGCCACCGCGCACCGCTGCCGCTCTGCAGGGCTGCGACTCCTGCCTCTGGCAGCCTGTCCGGCGTCCGCGTCCGGCGTCCGGCGTCCGGCGTCCCGCGTCCGCCCGCCCGGCCGCCACCACCGTGCGCCAGCCCTCCCCTGCCCCCGGTGCCCCGCGCCGCTGATCCACTCCGGAACTCACCCATCTATATAAACCACCACCTCCCGCAGGCACTTCACCTCAACGACAGTCACAGGACAGCGCACACCCCACCCACAACCACCACCGCTTCTCCTCCCGGAGGCCAAATCCCAAATCCCCCCAGGCCAACGGAAAGGAGGGAGAGAGACCCTCTCTTCTCCTCTCCTTCCGGTGAGGCGGTGAGCTATGGAGCCGCCGGCGGCGGCGGCGGCGAAGACGGTGGAGCGGCTGGCGCAGCGGCTGGTGCCGCCGGCGGAGCCCACCCCGACGGGCCCCCACCGCCTGTCGTGGCTGGACCGGTACCCGACGCAGATGGCGCTCATCGAGTCGCTGCACGTGTTCAAGCCCGACCCGGCGCGTGACGGGGTGAGCCCCGCGGCGACCATCGAGCGCGCCCTCGCGCGGGCTCTGGTCGACTACTACCCGCTCGCCGGCCGCCTCGCCGTGTCCGAGGGCGCGGGGGGCCTGCACGTCGACTGCAGCGCCGAGGGCGTCTGGTTCATCGAGGCCGCCGTGCGGTGCCGCCTGGAGGACGTGGACTACCTCGAGTACCCGCTCCAGATCCCCAAGGACGACCTGCTCCCGCACCCGCTGCCCAGGCCCAGCCACGAGGAGGAGACCAAGCTCATCCTGCTCGTCCAGGTACAGCCGCACAGGCCTCGTCCGTGCTCCGTGGGTTAATTCCAGCTGCATTGTGCGGGATTGCCTCCGTTTGCCGTGGATTTGGGATTCCCAGCTCTCTGACCGCCGCCCGGATTTGCGTGCAGGTGACGGCGTTCGCGTGCGGCGGCTTCGTGGTGGGGTTCCGGTTCAGCCACGCGGTGGCGGACGGGCTGGGCGCGGCCAAGTTCATGGGCGCGGTGGGGGAGCTAGCGCGTGGGGCGGAGCAGGTCTCCGTGTCCCCCACCTGGGCGCGCGACGCCATCCCGGACCCGGCGGGCGCGCTGGTCGGCAGCCTCCCTGACCCCACGGGCGCCAAGCGCCTGGAGTACCTGGCCATCGACATCTCCGCCGACTACATCGACCACTTCAAGTCGCAGTTCGCGGCGGCCACGGCCGGGGGGCGGTGCTCCGCGTTCGATGTGCTCATCGCCAAGGCGTGGCAGAGCCGCACCCGCGCCGCGGGGTTCGAGGACCCGGCGAACACCCCCGTGCAGCTCTGCTTCGCCATGAACGCGCGCCCGCTCCTCCCGGCCCGCCTCCCGCGTGGCGGCGCGGGGTTCTACGGCAACTGCTACTACATCATGCGCGTGGCGTCCACGGCCGAGAGGGTGGCGTCGTCGTCCGTCACCGACGTGGTGAAGATCATCAGGGAAGGGAAGAAGCGGCTGCCGTCGGAGTTCGCGCGTTGGGCGGCGGGGGAAGAGGGCGCCGGCGGCGTGGACCCGTACCAGATCACCTCCGACTACCGGACGCTGCTGGTGTCGGACTGGACCCGCCTGGGCTTCGCGGGGGTGGACTACGGGTGGGGCCCGCCCGCCCACGTGGTGCCGCTGACGAACCTGGACTACATCGCCACGTGCATCCTCGTCAAGCCCTGGGCCCACAAGCCAGGGGCCAGGCTCATCACGCAGTGCGTCACGCCCGACCGCGTCGAGCGCTTCCACGACGCCATGGTGGACATGAACTAGCGTCCTGGCTCCTGCCGTCCTGCGTCCACCACCGCCAGGCGCCAGTCTCCCGTTTGTTCATGGGTTTCTTGTTTTTTTTCTCTCCTCTCAATCAGTTACTGTGGTAATTAGCAGTGGGTATAATTACTAATCACATTTGCCTTCTGGCGAGTGGTCAAGAAAAGAAATGCAAACAATAAACTGATAATACGTACTGTAGATACTGATAAGAAAGAAAACAAAGGATAATAAGGCGGCGGTGTACAGGCAGGCGAGGATGCAGCCACCAGCCAGCTAGAGACAGGTCACAGGTGAGGGGAAGGACAGAAGGAGAGGTATGGGGGAACAGATAGACAGCTAGGTAGTCGTTGGCAAATGGCAATAGTGGGATTGGTATTGGATTCCTTATTTCCTTTGGATGTCGTCTTCTTTTGTTGGTGTCGGGTGCAAGTGCATGGCCTTTTTCTTTTCTTGTTCTTTGGGGGCTTTGATTGAGAGAAGGATCAAAGTTGGACTTGGCGGGAAGCCACCTACTAGTCTGCCCCTAAATATCATACCATAATAAGATTTTAATTGTAATATAGTTCTCAAATCTTTCTTTTTTGTCAAATAGTACTATGTACGAAGTACAAGACAGGCGAGCTTATAAAGTTTCAAAGGGAAAAAAAAACGCTGTAATGGGTACAATACTGCATACAGAAAGAGCCCCACTAATTTTAGCGTGTGAACTGTGAAGCTGTGGCTTTCGATATGATGATGGTCTATGTGTGCAATTAAGGGTACGTTTGGTGCTAGGTAAAGCTCTGAGCGGTTTCGACTTACTACGCTCCTCCATGCTTTATCCTCCGTGCATTACAGCGAGAAGAAGTCTTGTTTTCGCTATTCGCTCGTAATTAAACAGAGAGTCGATTTGAACTATTAGTTTTGCCTTCACCACTTTACCGTCTTCGGCTCCTCCGCACACTGATAAGGAACCAAAGCCATTCCAAACATGATCTAATTGTGTACAATATGATAACTAAGAAACCAATCATTGGTAACACGCTAGATTACTCCCTCTCTGTCTTAAATTATAATTTATTCTTTTTTTTTATGAGTCAAAGAATCTGGTGACGAGAGCAGGGGGGGATGGTCGTCGTCCAGGCAAGTTTTCATGCCACGACCTGACCACTGTGCAGTGCAGGCTGCCTTCGATCTCAAGTGACAAGTGCCGACAACGGTCCACGGAAAAACCAGAGAATTTCCCCCCTATATATATACGAGTACTCGTAGCTAATAAAGGGCACAAAGGTTAGAGTAGGATTTGGCGGTCTTTTCGCGGTGGCATATCGTGGTCAAGAGGGTTTGGTATTGGTGACGACCAACAGTCACCTTGTTTAGTTCAATCCTCTAAACTTTAGCTCCTATCATATCGAATATTTGAATATATACATGGAGTATTAAATATAAACTAAAAAAATAACTAATTATATAAATTATGACTAATTTGTGAGACGAATTTTTTAAACCTAATTAGTTCATGATTTAATAACGTGGTGCTACATTAAACATGTGCTAATGAGAGATTAATTAGACTTAATAAATTCGTCTAGCGGATTACTGAGGACTTGTATAATCTGTTTTATTATTACTATCAAACACTCACATATGACACCCTGTTGTAATACCACTAAATTTTACCCTCTGAATTTAAACATCACCTCAGTGGATGGAGTAGCAACGCGGCAAAGGCACGAGATTTTAAGCAGACGCCGTGCGTGCGTCGGTGCGTGTGATTTCGTAACGCCGACGGCTGGATCTCGGCTCCCATCCATGTTCTAGATGTCCACTACCGGAACGAACGACGCTTCTGGCCGACGCCGAACGAGCGAGTAGTCACGCGATCCTGATAGTGACGAGCAGTGCTGAATCAGCGTCGTGTCGTCGCCGCTACTCGCCAGTCTTTCATATTCGGCACATTTGGTGCGTAGCAGCAGCAGCTTGCACGGAATCTACACGTACATTACGGGGAAAACACCAAAACAGTGTCGCCAGTCGGTCGAGAGATTGGTCATCGTCCTCACGAGCCAGCATTTTGCGTAGAAGAGTAGTGTATCTCAAGCACGGATCGGAGCCTCTACCTATTTCCGTGTAAACAAATCTTCATTCAATTCGTATGTGTGTGTTTGTGGTAGTTGGGCTCCAATCAAATCTGTCCGATTTATTTCTCTGATCTCGGCTAAATCCTATTCGCTCCGTTCCAAATCATATGCGTGACTTTAGATTTATTACTCTAACTCAAACTTCTCTTGCTACATTATATATTGTCAAAAAAAAAGATTCAAACTTCTCTAACTTTAACTAATGTTATTTAAGAATAGGTAATATATACTTTTATAAAAAATATATATAATAATAATTTTTTACGAATTATATCACTGAACGAACAACACCATTAGATATACCAACATTTTCAATATATCTATTTAGTTCTATTGAATCCATTGTCCGATACACCCTGATAAGTCTTTATTTGGTTCTACATGTTATCATACTACTTAACACATTTCATAAAAATAGAGAAATCATATTTAACTTAGAAACTAAGCATTTGGAACAGGTCCACGAAGGGAAATTCACGCGTCAGTCGTGTAAAAGTATATGTATTATTCATGTTCCAATCGCAGACAGCGAAACTTGCTACCGTCTACTCCCACTGTATACTACTACTAGTACCAAGGAATACAAATCGACACGCGCTACTAGAGAACAGACTTTAAATGATGTCCTAATTTGACATTAACCTCGGCATTTTTTTCCCTGGAATTAAAGGACCCTTCCCAACGGTCGTCCGCGGGACAGGGATCTTTAATCCCGGCTGGTATTACCAACCTTGACTACCTTTAGTCCCGGTTGGTAATATCAGCCGGGACTAAAGCTTTTAGTTCCGGTTTGGGTGATGCTCCGGGAATAAATATTAATCTTTAGTCCCGATTTGGCTCCCTAACCGGGACTAATTATCTCGGTCTATACACCAGCTCATTTCTTCCTCCCCGAGCCCGAGCCATTCCATTCAAACTCACTGTCTCTGTTCTTCAGCTTGCTGTTGTTCTTACTCTCTCCTCCTCCATTGATGTTGCTCTTCGATTTTGGAGGTAACAAACTTAATCCTCTTATGTTTTATCAGTAGCTTATCTCATTTTGCGATGTAGATGCATATGTAATTTTATATGTTGGATTTTATTATGATTTTATATATCATTTTTAGCTCAAAATCACATGATGATTTGCATATATGTTTGGATAAACAAAAGTTAAATTAGTTCATCAAAATCACGCCTCGCTCGTCCTCGCTGGAGCACGCGCCATCCTCGTCTCCGGTGGCTTACGTGATCTTAGAATTAATTTTTCCATGAAATGAAAAACTTAGAAAATAGTTAGAAAATTATAGAAAATCCGTACTAGTTGAACTTCCGGACCGTGTTCATCTCGGCGAGCATGTTCTCTGTCGAGCGGTAACAGACGTCAAGGAGGAGCTTTGATTCTACGAGGGAGAGCGGCAACGGTCATGGAAGACCGTGTTCCCTTCCTCGTAGAATCAGAGCTCTTCCTTGACCAAGTACGGTGCCGTCCGGTGGAGAAATGCTCGCCGAGACGATCACGTAAGTAAGGTCAACTAGTACGGATGGCTATTTATTGAAACATGTTTTTGAGCTATGTGATTTCTATGTTATTTTTAGCTCAAAATCACATGATGATTTACAATAGTAAAATCACTTGACAGTTTTGTATTTTACTATTATACATAGTACATATTTCATGGTTTAGTTAGATAAATAAATAATTTTAGTTTTGTTTAAATATATTATTTTAGAAAATGTTTGCAAAAATAAGTATAGAAAGTAGATGACAATCGGTACGGATCCTCGGCCTCTCGTTCGGTTCTTGGCTTGATTGAGGCCGAACTCCCTCTCATTATCTGTGGGCAAGTGTAAGCGTAAGATTGTGATGGAATACCGAGTCAAGAGACAGGGGACCCAACAAGGGTCGTGTTTTCTCTGAGTGCCCGGATCGCGATGTGAGTTTCTTACGCATTTGATTATTATGGCTAATTGACCTGCTTTTCTTGAATATTTTTGACTAAATATTTTTGGGTTTAATTTCAGTGGAAGGGCAATGGATGCGATGGTTGGTACTGGGAGGAAGATTATGCTACATACGTGCAGAATTCAGGTGCGCTTGAGGTAGCGGCTTCTGATGATGAGGCAGTGACCCAGCAGGAGAAGCTTATTGATATTCAACAGAAGAATGATTTGTCTGTTTTAGTTGCGTACGGTCACGAAATAATTATGTTACTGAAGTGCATTGTAGTTTTAGTTTGTTTAGTGATAGTTGGGATTGATTACGTTGTAGCGAGGCTTAGTTAATTAATCAACCGTGTGTGTATCATCTATGTTGTGTAATAAAATAATTAATTATGTTCAAGGTTTTCATAATTTGTCGTGTAATGCAGATTATGTCACGCCATTGTATGTATAATGCCGATCGCCGCTCCCAAGACTTTATTGAGGGCGTGCACTATTTCTTAGGTGTGACCGAGGCAAATAAGCGAGATGGTTACATGTGCTGTCCATGTGCCGTATGTAAGAATTTAAAGGAATATTCAAGCTCAATGAGTCTTCATTCACATTTGCTTAAGTCGGTTTCATGTCAAACTATATATGTTGGACTAAGCATGGAGAAAGCGGGGTCATGATGAAAGAAGGTGAAGGAGAAGATTTAGACATTGATGACATTATTGCTCGAGATGGTGCCTTTGATGATACTATAATGGGGAGATGAAGAAGAGGTAGCGGCGAAGATGATCTCGGTGATGCTCTTGGCGATGCCATTCGTGATGCACAACAAGAATGCGAAAGTGAAAAAGAGAAAGTTAAGTTCGAGCGCATGCTTGAGGATCATAGGAAGTTGCTATACCCGACGGTCAAGAAGGGGCAAAAAAAATTGGGTACAACACCGGGAATTGGTACAAGTGGAAAGGC